ACCCTGAAACCCCGGTGTGTCCCCAGTTGGGCACCAGCCAGCCACGTCAGCACAGGTGACCGTTCAGCTCCCAACCGTCAACGGTTTGTTGGCTCCCTCGACGGTGCTGCCAGCAACGCTTGACTGGTAGAAGAAGGTTGAGTGCGAGCAGTGGTTGTGGCGGACCTTGCTGAGATGGCAGGTGCCAAAGTTGAAACGTGCCAGGCGCTCAGGGTTTAGGGTTTAGGGGACGAGGGGGGATGTCTGCAACCGCAAATAACCGCCGTCCCGTCGTACAAGGGTTCAACCCTAAACCCTGAAACCCCGGTGTGGGTTCAACCCTGAACCCTGAAACCCCGGTGTCAACCCTAAACCACATCAGCACTCTACACCATGCTACACCATGCTACACTGTGCTACAGCATGCTAAACCCTGCTGCACCATGTTACACCCTGCTCCCCCCTTGTTTACCCTGCTATACCGTGTAGCACCCTGCTACATGTTGCTACACCCTACTGCGACCTTCTTGAGCCTGCTTTATCCTGACGCACTTTGGTGCTGCCTGCGCTAATATGCTTCAAGCTGCTATTGCCTGCGCCAACATGCTGCACCCCGCTAAACCCAGCCAAAATATGACACAGCTGGCTGCACCATGATGCAGCAAGGTACGCAGAGGTGACTTACCGAGTGAGACAGTGTCCTTCAGACTTTCAGAGACAACAAGAGCAGCTTGCAGCTCAATCCAACGCCAGAATCAATCCACCATTTGCGGAGCGACTTTGAAGCGCTGCACGGGTGAGTGCAATGCTTGAAATGTGCTCATTCTTGGTATTGGTGCCATAAGCACCTTACGTTTGTGGCACCCTTGCGATCTCGTTCGCAGCAAGACGCACCACCGAGCATCGAGCAAGCACAAATCGCCAGGGAGCGCAAGACGCAAGGACAAAATCGTGAGCTTGAGTGATCGTGTTGAAATGCAGCACGATGCATAGTGCATCAAGACGCAGCAGCATCAAGCTACTCCATGAGAGCTTTTAGAGGGGTGATAGTTGTTTGAGTGGGCATGCATGCCCCGTCCACATATGTTTGGCCGCATACAATTGCTCTATTACGACACGATACGATGAATAACGTCATGTAACATGTTGATACCTCCCCTGTCTTCCAAGACAGCTGACCTGCCCAAGGCCCCAAATATGACCAAGGCCGGCATGAGGCGGGCAGCCAAGGAGGGCAGGGCTGAGGCCATCAGGCTACTGCACGAGGAGGAGAAGCAGAAAGCCAAGGAGCGGAAGCTGGCAGAGGAGAGGAAGCGGAACGAGGCGAAGGCCAAGAGGGTGCTGAGTGAGTTGGTTTGGGGGAATTTATTTGTATTGTTGGTGTAGTCGAGGCGGTGGATCAGGATTAGGATTAGGATTGTTACACGATCCCGCGGTGTTGCTTGGGAGAAGAGCTCGGCTGGTGGAGGTTTCCTTTGTGCGCTGGCTTGGGGGGCTGGTGTGGATGCCATGGTTTACTCCCCCACCGTTGCACGCTACCTTCGTCCTTGTTACCGGGCACCACAGAGTCCAAGATTGGCCCAAAGATGGTGGAGTACCCCGCACCTCACCCCTCGGGCTACAACATCAACCTCAACCAGCCACAGCTGCAGCCCACGGTCCGCGTGGTGGGCGCGTACCTGCTGGCCAAGGGCCTGATCAACCGCAAGTCGGAGGCGGCCGCCATAAGGTACCTGATAATGGTGAGCATGCACGGTTGGTGCGTTGTGGTACTACGCATGCACGGTACCGACCCTCATTCGCATGGGGGTTTTCTGGGTGTGCAACGCGATAGCTTGGTACATTTTGGAACTCCCTGTCCCTTGCACAGAAAACCACACAACAACATACACAAGCCTTGCATCACCTCACTGTCGGTGCTGTCTCCCGCAGGAGTTCCACAACAAGCACTGCTGCACGAAGGGCGAGATGCCGGCTGATCTGGTCGAGTTGCTGTTCAAGACGGGCAAGAACTTCAACGACGAGGACTGGGACAAACTGATCGCATTCTTCAAGTCTGGGGATGCCTCCAATGACGTGGGTGGTTGGCAAAGGTCACGCATGCAACAATGTTGTACGTGTCAGCCCCTGTGTTGCGTGCATGTGTGCTGGATGCTGGACAGCAAACAACAAGAACATACACTTACAAATGCCGGCCTCCAACCTTTGGCATCCAAACCGTGTATTATTTGCACCTTCACACCCACCAACCCAACCACATACACCCACACACATGCACTCCGCCCGATAAACACATGCCCACGCGCACGCGCACGCACACGCACGTGCGCGCGCGCGTGCACACACACACACACACACACACACACACACACACACACACACACACACACACACACACACAACAGAGTCCCATCAAAGAGGAGATGTAAGAGATGGTACAGTGGACTGATGGAACGGCCTCGCGAGGAGGTGATTACCCCGGAGCGCTTGTTGGTGATGCGGGTGCTCTTGTACGTGCTTGGTCTTGATGTTCAACCCCACAACTTAGAGGCCAACACACAAGGGGGATTGATTTGTTTACGGCAAGCGGTGCGTGCGTTCTAGCATGAGGGCAGGTGAGCCTCACTTTAGGTCTTGTATGACCTTTGAGGCGGAGCATCTGTCTGTTTGGAGTCCACTTGACAGTGATGGCTCCTTGCAACACTACCACCATCCCAAACATGCACCCATTTAACATGTTGTAACAAGGCAGCATGCACTTGCTGGCACTTCATTCACACCAGTCTCATACAGCATGACATGTGCACAGGCAGTATCATACGTTTATAGCGAGCAGCTAGCAATTAAAGTGCGTCTACTACCAGCGTTGTCGCCGTTGACATTAGGCGCCGGTTGTCGCTACCAACGAGCGGTGCCTCCAGGCACAGCAGGGCGGTGTCACACGGCGCAGCACAATGGTACATGGTGAAAGACTGCCCAGGCCGGCTGTAAGCAACGCCCGCATTGATTGAGGAAGGCAGGGCCGGGGGTAACTCGGGCTGGAGC